AGGAAAATTGAAATATTGTGAATCTTATTTTTCATAGACTAATGTTTATGTTTCATAGACTAATATATATATTTTCGGTGTAAAATGATAAGTTGACGAAATTTTTTTCGGTAAAAGTGGATAAACACTTGCACAGCACGGATCATTTTTCTTTTAACATATAAATATTGTAGAGATTATATTTTCAAGTAACATACGCTATGAATTCTGTGGCACCCTCTTCTGATTCTTGAGATGAGTAATTTTGTAAACAGTACTTATTTCGAAATTCGTAACGAAAGTAAACAGCAGTTCTGAAGTGCATTAGAAGTGACGAGCTGTTATGTAAATGTGAAATCAAATGATGTCCGTATACTATTTCCATTTGTTCTTAAAATACTGGTCAGTCTTGTTATACGAGTATAAGAGGCAGGAACCCGATTGTGATTTCAGATAGAAATTGAGTTTTGGTTATGTTCATGACGGGGTGCAAAGGGAGGAGTTTTGATACCTCTCGCCTCTGAACGCGTTTACTTTGTAGCATAAATCTTGAAAATATACAGTAGCTCACGAGTTTTCACACGCTATTAAAATTCTAGACAATTAAGATACGCATATTAAATTTGAGAACTGAAAACATACATCTATATATCTAAAATTAAGAACGAATTCGATAACGTTTGTAAAAGTTTTGAAATCTTTCGTTGCAATTACTTGATCGGAATTATAACATATCGCGTGCAATGTTACATCACAGATGAAGTATTTTTGCAAATTGTTTTAAAATGACTATTTTGTTGGGACAAGAAACGGGGATCGAATGTCTCAATTACGGAATAAATATAAATTTCAAAAGGAAGTCCCAATAGATGTCCCTTTTCCTTGCAATGTAACAGGTACTTAACCAAATTTATGATTATTGCTGTCAAATATTTCATGATATCACTTGTAAATATTATATCGTCTTATTTATTCTTTAAAATCATTATTCAATTTAAATCGCAGATTTCTTTTATTTCCAATAATTTTTGCAATTTATCCTAGGGACAATCGGTAAATTTCTGTGGCAGGAAATTACAGCGAAGAACGCTGTTCTTCATAATTTGTAGTGGCTACAAGAATGTCAATGTGATTTCGAGTTCATTCATGGTCTTGTCCTATTAATATCATTTTTGAAGATAGATATATAACATTATAAGCTCTTCACCCCACTGTAGTTTAAGAATAGTAAAATTGATGCTTATCTTTTGAAGCTCATATGTATCCTAATGTCTTTACTTTAATTTATTTAGCCGGCAGATCTTCGAATGTTCCCGAGTCGGTTCACCATTTAAAACCAGGAGACATAGATGTCATTGCTGCAATGGGTGAAATTGCTACAATCATACATACAGAGACATAGATGTCATTGCTACAATCGGCGCTGGAGTTACTTCGATTTATACGTTCGAAGTGAACATTGAAAATAGAGGCATAGTCTGCAGTATCGGTGGTCAAGCAACTTGGCGACAGTACCTGACTCTCCCTAATATTCTTAAAATTTTTCATTTCTTACATCTGCATTGTTTACGCATATGATTTGTGTTATCGCCATTAATGCGAATACTGAAATCTTTCATAGACCGATTATCCTACATGCAGGAATTCAATCCCAAATTAGTAGGTTATTCACTTGGGAACGCTATAAGTACTGATCCAGCTGCGCAGTTAAACGTCGCCGAAAGTGGCGCTATGTCTAAACGTATAACTTTCATGGCGACATATCTGATCAATAAAAGAAAAGATGACCCGAGGATAGATATCAACAAACATTGGAAGGTTCGTATGTTCGTAGACAAAGTAATTATATACATATATATAAATGCCAGTATGAAATTGGACAAATTTTTTCTTTTCTTTAATCAAAATTTATAATTTCATTTAATATTTAATCGTTTAAGCAATAGTATCTACATTTTTATGTTTTCCAGTTGATTTCGTTGATGATTGGAAGTAATAATTTTTGCATTAATAAGTGTGCAACATCTCCATGGTCTATGTTAAATGATCACAAAATAGATTTAATTCATACTCTTAAAATATTAAGAGACAATTTACCAAGAACTTTTGTTGCTCTTATACCACCACCTCACTTAAAGGAACTGGTTGCTGCACACCAAGGAAGAGAGTCATTCCTGTGCTATTTGGCATCCATGATTGAATGCTCATGTATGTTTGCTTTACAATTTAGGGATCAAAGACCGGAATATTATAAATTAATTGAGAGGTTTGTATAATTTTCCGAATTCAACTTTTTAAATATTTTATGCTTGAGGATTAAACACTCACAAGAATTTTGTTATATGATACTTTATATTTAATCTTAGTAATTATACATAAAAGGGGTTACAATTCCCATGTTAATGAAACTTAAGTATGTTGTGAAACTCAGCTTTTTTCCTATAGGAGGTAAACTCACTTAGTTTTCGAAATATTCAGAGAAAGCTGGTGCTATTACTATATTGAATCTTACATAGAAGGCAACGTATGCGTCAGCATGGTGTGGCCACTCATCTACTGTTGCTGTGTGTGTATAAATACATAACTGCGACCTGCGAACTATCTCTGTAACGGGCAAACTGTTTAATACTTATTCTACTTAACTACTATTCTAACTACCTCGAAAACGTAAAAAAATATTTTGAACGCACAAGTCAACTTGTCAAAAATTGTAAATCATAAACTAGAAAAGTATTAATTCTGAGCAATCCAGTCATCGCACCGTGAGGAGGCTGACTACCATCAGATTTTAACGATAATAGAGGCGAGGAACGAGACGCTCTGAAAAGAGCTGGCCTCGCGCTCCACTGCAGAGAAGAGCAGCGAGACAGCGCGTCTCGTCGCAATCGAATGTTAGATGGAGGAGCTAGGACCCTCGCTGATCCGGCTTGCTCCGGCTGATGGAAGAACGCCTCGAAAATATAGAAAGAAGAAGAGAAAAGCAGGTCGTCCCCGACGAGACCACGAGAAGGGTGGAGCCTGGAATTCCAAACACTCCAGCGACCAAGGGAAGATAAGCGGCTGCCATGGAATGACAGACCGTCGAAAGAAGAAACAAGAAGAAAAAGGAGCCAGCGAAGGAGCAACCGGCGAAGCTAACTCCCAGGACAGAGACGAAGAACCCGAGGAAAGCCCCAGAGGGAGAATCGGAGAACGTGCGAATAGGGGGAGACGAGCTGCCCCCTCCCCTTCATACACCGCGAACATCGGCGGCAACGATTACGCTAAAGGATAGATCAGGCCAATCCTGCGCGGAAGCGATGGCCGCGACCAAGGAAGCGTCTCTCTGGCTGAGGTTGGCATCAACGCAGTGAGGGTGGAAAACTATGACCGGAGGCGTCGTTCTGGAGTTCTCCGAGGACCAGAAGAGGGAGAAGGCCGCTGCACTCGCAGCACGGCTGACCTGGACCCTGGATCCGATCAAGGTCCGCGTGGCGACACCTTTCCGAGCTGGAGAAGCGAAGTTGACCAGGATAGATATTTCGGACACCAATTAGGAAATCAGGAACACCCTGGTGAAGGAGAGCGGTTACCAGGCGGAGGACGTCCGACTGGGAGAGATCCGCCTCGCTCGAAACGGCCTTGGATCCGTGTAGATACGAGGCCCGGACGGTGCAGAGAGGAAACTGGCCCAGGTTGGCAAGGTCGCCGTAGGTTGGTCGATAGCGAAGGTCGAAGCCATCGAGCGAAGACCTTTACAATATTACAGGTGTCTGGAGATTGGGCACATAAACATGCACTACCGCGAGCCAGAAATGCCTGTTTTGCGAGGTGCTCGGAGCACCACCCGTAAACAGAATAGGGGGACCCCCCCC